TCTTCCAAGCGGACTGAGACGGCAAATCGGCGACTGCGTGGGACAATGATGCGAACGAAGGGCCGTAGGTCAGCTTTTCCGACGAACTCCAGGTTTCCATGGCCTTGTACGCCTCGCTCGGGGAGAGGAAGGTATCGAGTGGGCCAATGTTAAATGCGCCCACGTCGACAGACACGACCTTGATATTCTTCATTGCCTGTGACTTGTCCGACATGGCGGCAATCTTGACCTCCCTCCTCAGCACCTCTACGCCGCGTAATGTGCTCACTGCGCTCATGGACTGCATAGCGGCAAACGGAAGGCCGACACGAGCCGCAGTAGCCGGAAGACATACAATGATAGACTTCTTGGTTCCATCACGCTCGCGGCTCGGTCCTGTGCGTAGCATGGGAAGAAGAGCCTGGATGACTTGGAGGGGGACGACATGTGTCGCGTTGAGATATGGGAGGTAGCCGTTATGGAGGGATATATGCTCAAGAGGTGCATAAACCGGGGGCGGCGCCAGGCTGAGAAGGGAGATGACCGAGTGAATGTAGGGATGCGCCGAAGGAGCCACGAACGGGTCACCGGCGGCGGTGATTGGGAAACGGCGCGACAATGCTGAGGCCAAGGATCGCAGGAAGACTGGGACAGTAGAAGGCTATATATCTCATGAGTCGGTGAAGGTGATATTGTTTTCGATGTATCCTACCTCATTCGGGTCAAGAATAATTGCCCTCACATATCCCTGGCATCTGCGCTCCAAATCATGGCCAAAGTCTGGCGTAGACACGCTAGCGATGACGATGTATCCCCTTCGCTCGAGATCCAAAATGAGGGGGAGCGCCAATGGCGAATCTCCACCGAGAACAACAACAACCTGACGCCGGTCCTTCTCTTTGAGCTTCCTGGTCTTGGTAGCCCTCGTGTAGATGGCGCCGTACGAGATAAGCCCCGTGCCCAAGGCGGCGGCCGCGATTCCTGCAGCCTGGCCAGGATGGTTCCGTAGCCACGCGGTGGACTGCTCAAACAAAGAAGGCGGTGGCGGAGGGGGGCGCAGCGGAGGTGGGATCTCAAAGTCACCTAGTCCACCTAGTCCACCTAGGTGCACATCGGGAAAACCGGGCATCTGAGGGACGCCATAGCGAGTAATGTCGGACCAGAGCTGATTTAGCGTGTGGGGAATCTGCTCAAGAGACTCCAGCATGCCATCTAGATATTCTTCGAACTTGAGGGAATAAAGTCAATGGCGGCAGTCTAATGCAGCCCAAATGACTGACCTGCTCCATTTACGCATGGAGGGAGGAGGGAATGGAAGGATTTGATCGGTGACGTAATCACGTCTAAGTTGGTATATGTCCACGCCCATCGAGCTGAGGCGCGTCGTCGGCCGCGTCGGCCCTATTTCAGGCCCCATTTCTACTTCCCGCTTCCTCATCGAAGATACACTACCGCCCTCACCCCAGGAGCTACCCGAAATCTTTACCTTTTCGCCATCCCGCGATGAGGAGACTCTGGCAGCAATCAACCCGGAGTGGAAGCGCAACTTGTACGCTCTACTGGAGCAGCCGACGAGCTCAGACTCTGCGTTTCTGGTCCACGTCTTCATGACCAGTCTGATTGTAATATCTGCCGTCGTGACTGTGCTGGAAACGGTGCCGGCGTTCCACTCGATCAACACCAACGTATGGTTTGGTCTCGAGACGAGTCTGGTCGCGCTCTTCACCACGGAGTATGTCGCGCGATGTCTAGCGTGGAGTAGCTCCTGGACAAGTCTGTTGCGCTGGGTCGTTTGTACGTCTCTACCCTTTTCCTGAGATTCTCTGCTGACCCCGCCTACATAGCTTTCTTTGGGATTATAGATTTGCTTTCCGTGGCTCCGTACTATATAGAATTAATATTGCACCAAGATACCGTCCGTCGTCTTGCGTCTTATCGTTCTTCCGCTCACCGACAAACTAGTCAGTCTTTTTCAGGTTTTCCATACTCAGGATGTTTCGACTGCTACGTGTATTCCGACCCTTCCGCTCCAACAATACTGTACTATTGTATGGCTCATCCAATATCCTGTCCGTGTTACTGACCGCAAGCCCTCAGAACAATCGAAGTAATGTATCTCTCGGTACGGCGATCTCAACACGCCCTGTTTGCTCTTGGCTTCTTTGTGATCATGGTCTTGACCATCTTCTCGACGCTCCTGTACTTTGCGGAGAGAGGGACCTGGGACGATATTCTAGAGACTTTTATTAATACGGATGGTGATCCTTCCCAGTTTGCCGTGAGTCCGTATTCGCAGCTGGTGCATGTTTATAACGTCTACAGTCGATCCCGGCGGCAGGGTGGTTTGTGCTCGTCAGTACGTCGCCTTGATTCTCGTCAAGATTTGCGACTCACAAAACTACTAGCTATCACTACCGTTGGCTATGGTGAAATTACGCCACGCTCCTTCCTCGGCCGTCTCGTAACATTACCCTTGCTGATGTTCGGCCTGCTCCTTATCGCGCTCCCGAGTTTTGTCTTGGGCCGCGAATTCAGCATTGTTTGGGAACGCATGACTCGAGAGGTCCGTATCTTCTCCCGTTTCCTTCCGCCAACTAATCTCCTTGCAGTCTCCGCTCAACGAACCCCAATCGCCATCTTCTCCCATCATTCCTCGCACTCGAAATCCACCCATCTTCCCGACGCCAGCTCAATCCACGGACCTGTCTAACCGAAAACTTGCGCTGAATCAGACCGAGTTGAGTAGCCAAATAGCGGATCTTAGAGGAGTGGTAGAGGCGCAGGGGCAGCTGATACAACGGCTTGCTTTGGTGCTGGAGGGCAAGGGCAAGGCTCGTGCGCAGGATGTAGAGTAAAATATTACATGCCGGCCGTTGATACCAACAATGATGCATGATGCGGCCACCTTCGGTTCCAACCCGAGATTTCATGATCAGCATTACTTTCCCTCTGCTACATACCATTCATTCACGGATGGACTACCGACGGGGTTGCTTACTCTCAACCGGAAGAGAATCCGCTTGAGAACATTCAAATACGGTCCCATGCAGTCTTCAAGCCCTCATGTCCTCCGCATCTCAGAATCAAGCCGCCTGGTTGACCGCCGTCAAAGCTTACCCTCTGGAAGTTGGCCCAGCGCCTATGCCCACTCCTGAGGGTACCGATGTCGTTATACTAGTCCATTCCGCCGCCATAAACCCCGCCGACCCAGCCGTCCAGAGACTTGGCATCGTCGTCGAGGCCGACAAGTACCCGTACGTGCTTGGAACCGACGTTGCTGGGATCGTGCATTCCGTTGGGCCGGACCAGACGCGATTCAAGACGGGCGAGCGCGTAGTGGCTCTGGGTCTCGCAAGTCTTCATAAGGACTCCAAATACGGCGGCTTTCAGCTGTACTCTGTCGCGGATGCCAAGGCCCTCGTCAAGATTCCGGACCACGTCAGCTTCAACGAGGGGTGTGTCTTGCCTCTTGGGCTATGTACCGCTGCATACAGTTTGTTCGAAAAGGTATGTCAAGAAATTCCTTCGCCACCAAGTATTCTTATACTGCTCCAAGGACGCTCTAGCGCTCGACCTACCCAAGCCGGGTGGAAACAAGCCCAACTGGCAAAGTCTTGCTCGTCTGGGGCGGAGCGTCCAGCGTCGGGCGCATGCGCCATCCAACTGGCCAAAGCTGCGGGGATACACCGTCGCAGCCACCTCTAGCACCAAGAACTTTGGCCTCCTGCGCGAAATCGGCGCCGAGTATGTTTTCGACTACAACAAAGACGGCGTCGTCGACGATATCGTGGCTACTCTCAAAGGACAAAGGCTCTCTCGCCGGTGTATTCTGCGCCGTTGGTCTCTTCGAGGGGGCGCCCCTCCAGTGTGCTGTGATCGCAGGGCAACTTGAGGGTAGGAAACACGTCGGTACCGTCCGTCCGCCTGGCTTCCCCCCTCTGAAGGACTGGCCAGAGGGGATCGAAGTCAGTCATTGTGCATCGACGCATATACTGCACAGCGAGGTCGGTCCGGCGATTTGGGGCGCGTGGTTGGAGGGTGCGCTCGAGGATGGGACCATGTTGTGTCGGCCGCCATACGAGGTTGTTGGGCAGGGACTCGAGGAGGTGCAGAAGGCGATGGATATAATGGGGAAGGGCGTTAGTGGGAAGAAGTTGGTAGTAGAAATTGTACATTAGGACGGTTTCTGGAAGTGGCCCAGTGGTTAAGGCGACAGATTACCGGGACGACTCGGGGGCGACCGACCTTGGAAAGTGGCCGAGTGGTTAAGGTGACAGATTACCGGGCGAGACGCGGCGCTTCGAAACTGGCCGAGTGGTTAGAACTTGTCCGAGTGGTTAGAAACTGGCCGAATGGTTAAGGTGACTGGTTGTCGGGCCGACTTGGGCCGACGCCGCGCTTCGAACCGGGCAGTGGCCTTTTCTTTTCTCATGCAGCATGATTGAACACCAGCAGCGGGTGTTTTCGAGGCTTTGCTCCTGGCCTTTCCTCGAACTTTCTCTTCAGATGCAATGTCGGAGTGCAGACAGATAGATTCAGACTTCTAGTTGCTGTATACAAAATGGCAAACTTAAGGCTACGCAGCAGTACCACTGGCATAGCTGGTGCAGGGGATGTAAGTAAAGCAAGAGTATGCCAGTGAGGACGTCCACCACCTCAACGGCTCTCAACGGCCCGGGAACCCTGAGCAGTGCGAGCAGGCAGCGGAAAAGTGTGGGTGCGGCCCGTGCGGGTAATAGTCTCGCAAACAAGACTTTCTCGTAGTCAAGACAACCGTTCACAGGGAGGTGCGGGTCGCCCTGGCCGCACATGCCGCCAGACGATTGGGATACAAGCGTAGAGTGAGTGAGTCATGTAAGGCAAGTCCCGTAAGCGTTTCGCCCCTTCGCTCCACATCGCCATTGCGCTGGTGCCTTAACTTTTGCCTCTCGTCCCTGTCTCCGCCCACGTCCCGTCTTTTCTGGAGGTGCAGAGACCAAAAAATTTGATACTCAAATCGAGCAGAGCAGTAAAAGAGGAGCCGACGCGAGCAGGACTTGAACCTGCGCTCGGAAACCGAAACAGATAAAGCAGTGCAAGGAACCCAAGAACATTCTAATCTGTCGCCTTAACCACTCGGCCATCGCGCCGCTGAGAAGATAGGAGATTGAAGATCCATTCGGTACTTGAACTAACAACAATACCTGAAGTGGTATAGCCGCTGAAATTTGAAAGCAGTGGGCGTATTCGCGATGACTAGGAGAAGAGTGTGCTCGTGCTCGTGTTACGACTCGAGGGACTTGGTGGTGAAGGCGCCCGACGTGGGGGAGGGCGAGTCCGAGGCGGTGAAAGTTGGGGGAAGGCCGGGGAACCCAAAGATCTGCACGACCCCGTAAAGGGAGTTCGGAACGTCGGACGCGCTCCTGGACGTTCTTGAGACCGAGGGAAGGAAGGGAGAGACTCCGACTCCCAGGGGAAGAGGAATAAATGAGAGAGAATCGTCGTGTCATGCATCAAGAAGAAAGTCGCGGCGAACTTGCTGAAGCTCGAAAACCATCTCAAGCGCCAGAGAGGTCACTAGGAAGAGTTGAGCCGCGGGTCGAGACTGACGACGCATAGTAACAGCGGGAAAGTCGACGGGATCACTGTTTGAGACGAAAGACGAGTGACATCTGGAGATGCACAGTGGCGTGGTCGCGTCGGGCATGGCAGTTCCTGGATGCTATACTGACAGGATCATGTATGAATTCGGGTATACGGCAATAGAAAACTGACCACTGCTTGGAGCAAACTTGGACCATGCGGCGGAGGATGCGCCCTCCATGGCTACTTGACGCGTCAATGCGAGCCCCACGGTCTCAATTCGCACCAAAAGTAACCTACGCTACGCCCGAGGCGTTCTTATGCCTGTATTCCTGTATTCGCGTTCACGGCTCCGTGGTAAATCACAAGTTGTCTTCCGCTGGTTCAATCTGCTGTGTAACTTGTAGACAGCAGCCGCGAAGAATCGTGTATTAATTATGAGGAGAAAGTTGTGGAAGGAGAGACTGGAGAGCAGTCGCGCGAAGTTGCGGTGTTGCCCGCCATGGTGGTTGTCGCGGTCACGAAAGCGCGTCTGATGACATCAAAACAAGCACAAAGTATGTACATACGGCACCGTCGATCGCCGCGACCACATGAAAGAGCGCAGTAGGATTCAAAGGACCGGCATCGACTTTCCATTACAGTGACCAAATTACGCACATATGTACAATATCGCAGCAAGTATCTAGGCGAAGGTCCAGCAGCCGTGAAGACGCGCAATCCATTCAATTTGTGTCAGGCCGGGCAGACACGCAACCCACCCAGTACAGAATGCCATCGTGATCCAAAAATAATTGCTCGGAGTGGTATATAGACGACTCTGTCCATCTGCTCTCCCAACAACAATGCAAAACCCCTCGGTTCTCATCGTACGTGTCTTCCCATTGTCGAGAAGACATCAGTGCTGACCGGAACTCACCCAGGTCGGCGCTGGTCCAGCAGGCCTCGTCCTCGCGCTCACACTCCTCCAAAGCGGCGTCTCAGTACGAATTATTGACAAGGAACCCACTCATCGTATCGGTTCCAAGGGCGCCGGCATCCAGCCCCGCACTCTCGAGCTGTACGCCGCCCTCGGCGTGGTAGATGACATCCTCGCCGCCTCGATTCCGATCCTCCCCACTGCCATGTACGAATATGGAAACGCCGTACCAAAGGCTGAGATTGTGTTGATGAAACAATACGCACCGACACCTGATACTCCCTATGTCCGTGTGTTTCCCTGCCTCCCCGTCTATTTTGTTAACTGTTTTCAGCCCAACTCTGCTGCACTCGGACAACACAAACACGAAGAAATCCTGCGAGCACACTTAGCAGCGCATTCGTGCACCGTCGAGCTGGGCACCGAGTTGCAGTCCTTTGAGCAATCGGCGGACCACGTCGTCGCGCATCTAATCCATACAGCCGCCGATGGCACGCAGACCGAGGAGAGGCCTACATTCGCGTGGCTCGTGGGCACCGACGGCGCGCGGAGTGTCGTGCGCAAACAGCTTGGATTCAGTTTCCTCGGTGAAACGCGCAAGGAGGATCCAGTTGTTTTGGGTGACATCGTCATCAAAGAGGGTCTGGATGTCGATGTGAGTGTCGATTGCTAGCTCATGCCGGCGGGATAATTGACATACCGACAGCATTGGCATATGTGGAGGGTCGATTCTAAAATGTGAGTTTATCCATACATACGCAAAGGACAAGGAAGCTGATGCGCACCGTAGGTTGCTGCTTCGCCCGGACGATGTGGCAAGGAAATCATTCGCCTACATGTACAATGGAGGCAATTCGGGAGAGGACGGTACTCTGACCCGCGACCAGTTTGTCCACGAGTTTTCCGCCTTTACGGGTCGCACGGACGTCCACTTTGGAGAGACGAGCTGGGAGAGCGCTTACAGAGCCAACATCCGGATGGTGAACGCCCTGCGGGATAGACGCGTATTTATCGCTGGAGGTGAGTCCTTGGTTCTGAAACTCGACTTGGTCGTTGATCCCGATATGTAGACGCTGCACACTGTCATCCACCATCGGGAGGCCAAGGCCTCAACTCCTCCGTGCAAGACTCGGCGAACCTCGGCTGGAAGCTCGCACTGGTCATCAAAGAGCTCGCTCCATCGTCCTTGCTCGACACCTACGCCGAAGAACGCCTGCGGATCATAGCACACATGCTCGGCTTGACCAGCGCACGGTACCACGAAGCACGCGACTCCAAGCAGAACAAATTCCAGCACGGCGACGCACTGCGCATGCTTGGCGTCAATTATTGCGGGAGCTCGATTCTCGTCGGGTCTGGGGCGGATGATGTCGCTGATCCGTATGAGGGACTAGCACCTGGTGCCCGCGTTTGTGCTGGATATCGCGCGCCTGATGCGTCGGGGATGCGGGCCGCGGGCTCGACAAAGAGCTTATTCGAGATATTCCACGCCTCCATCCACACCGTTCTCGTGTTCGGGGAAAAATCCGAGGCGGTTCAGAATTTTCTGAAGAGCTTGCCCGTCGGCATGGCACAATCTGTCGGGGTGCTTCCGCGTGGCCTGGCACCGAGTGACGAGACTGACTTGGAGGATAGCGAGGGACACGCGTTTACAGGGTATGGGCTGAATCCGAAGGAGATGACAGTCGTCGTCGTTCGTCCGGATACCGTCGTTGGTGTCGTTGCATTAGATGTCGAGGATCTGGAGAAGTATTTCCGGGGAATTCTGAATTTCGCGTTGTAGTTTCAGTCCTCGATCCTGTTTGAATGTAATCCCCCACTCACAATAAAATCCAATAACGAAGTGAAAGTTCATGTAGAAGAAGTTGTGAAGAAGCCACAGAAGGAAATGTTGTTTTTTCGGGACCCGCCGATAAAGCTTGAAGATTGTCTGGTGTTGGTGTGCTGAGGAGCGTGAAGGAAAGGCTCCACAACTGAGCACCAAGTACACAGGCGCTTCCAAACTTGCTGTGGACAATGGGACGAAAGAAAGCCGTATCAAATCAAGATTCAATCGGTTACGGGGTTGTCGAAACGCTGCATTTGAGAGGAGACACTGTCCAGGGATATGTATGAGCCAAGCACAACAGAAAGAGGCAAAGACGGCAGACTTGAACTTTGCAACAAGTATCGGAGGCCACAGAAAGACGCGAAAAACGCGAAAAAAATGCGAGCCAGCCAAGAACGTGGAGACCAATCAGGTCACGTAGCTATCAAGACGACCAGCAAGAGAGAAGAGACAGAAGAGATACAGAGGGTGAACCTGGGACCAGAGGAGCTGCAGGATCGTTCATGGAAGAAGAGGAAATCACGAAAGTCATGACACGCCTGGCCGCCAACTGAACAAATCCTCCATGAGCAACCTTCACCGACAATTTGAAAAAAGCGCACACCACCGGCATTCACCCAGCATCTGCCAATAAAGAATGTAATTATTTTATTAGAGCAAAGGAAACAAACAACGCCGTGCGAGGAGGTTTAAAAACGGGAAGCTCTAAGTACTGCAAAGAAAGTCCCGCGCCGCGCCATTCATTCCCAACGTTCCTTTTTTTCATTCCACCGCGCGTGCTAGCAGCCCACCTGTCAGCATTTATGCGCCACCAGCCATGTCCTTGGCGAGTTGGTCAGCCTTGGCCTTGACGTCCTCGATGGTGCCGGCCTGTGAATGAGAAGATCAGTTAGATGGATAAGAAGGACGAGGAAAGGATGCGCACCATGAGGAAAGCCGACTCGGGCAGGTTGTCGTGCTGGCCAGACAGAATCTCCCGGAACGAACGGACGGTGTCCTTGAGCGACACAAGCTTGCCCTCAATACCAGTGAACACCTGCGCGACCTGGAAAGGCTGCGACATGAAACGCTGGATCTTGCGGGCACGCTCGACGGTCAGCTTGTCCTCCTCGGACAACTCGTCCATACCCAGGATAGCAATGATATCCTGGAGCGACTTGTAGTCCTGAAGGATCTTCTGGACGGCGGTGGCGGTGTCGTAGTGCTCCTGGCCAATGATACGGGGGTCCAACATACGAGACTTGGAGTCAAGGGGGTCGACAGCGGGGTAGATACCGAGCTCGGCGATACCACGGGACAACACAGTCGTCGAGTCCAAGTGAGCAAAGGTGGTGGCGGGGGCAGGGTCAGTCAGATCGTCAGCGGGGACGTAGACGGCCTGGACGGAGGTGATGGAGCCCTTCTTGGTGGTGGTGATGCGCTCTTGCATGCCACCCATGTCAGTGGAGAGAGTGGGCTGGTAACCGACGGCAGACGGAATACGACCGAGCAGCGCAGACACCTCGGAACCGGCCTGCGTGAAACGGAAAATGTTGTCGATGAACAGCAACACGTCCTGACCCTCCTCGTCACGGAAGTACTCGGCGATGGTCAGACCAGTGAGGGCGACACGAGCACGGGCACCCGGGGGCTCGTTCATCTGACCGAAGACGAGGGCGACCTTGGACTCGCCGTCAAGCTTGATGACACCGGTCTCAATCATTTCGTGGTAGAGATCGTTACCCTCACGGGTACGCTCGCCGACACCGCAGAAGATGGAGACACCACCGTGAGCCTTGGCGACGTTGTTGATGAGTTCCTGAATCAACACCGTCTTTCCG